AAGTCCCAAACCACCTTGCGAGTTGCGTCTTGAGTGACAGTATAACAACCCTAATTGATCAATTCGCACAACAAACTAAACTTAGAAACTACATCAAGATCTACACGGGTCGTCCACAACTATGAAACTGTAAGGAAAACAAACAAGGTAATAAATAAAATAAAATAAACCAAGAACACAACAAAATAGAGGGAATAATGCTCGCTGGAGGTAATGTAATCTAGTGGTCAAAAGCCCTTAAGATGTGGGTTAAGACATTTTAAATTATAAAGGTTTTTGAGGTTTTTTTTCTGTGGTCTTTGAGAGGTTATTTTCTGTGGCTTCATATTTAAACCAAGTCAAGATACACCAATAACCATTCCTAGTGTGTCTGTAGTTCTTTATGTAGTTTCAGGAACTAACTGATCAAAAAGGATCAATATATTATGACTCAACTTAAAAAAGAAACAAATGAATAAAGGGAAAATGATAAGATGGAGAATTGAGCAGAAGAAAAATGTTTTTAGTTCTGATTCTCCCAAAGTACCTCATGAACTACTAACTCACTTGGTTTTGTGTTTTAAACCTAACATATAAAATTCGAGCCTTCAGCTCTGGTATAGTTGACAATAATAATTTCTGTCTTTTTTCTGTTGTTTTTCAGAAACTGCAGTAAATTCACCCATTTACAATGATCAATAGACAGTCAGGGTGAAAAGAAATCCACTGTAGATGCCTGAAGAGGTTAAGTGTTTCTGAGTACACACAGAGCTATGTGCGATTTAAGAAAAAACCTGTAGAGAACAGAAGTGATCTATGTTCTAAACCACCTTGGTGCGCTTTGCTGGCATTCTTGACAAGTTGTTGCTGTGACTGGATGGAAAAACAAGTCTAAGTGATGTGGCCCTCTAGTCATGTGACCATCAGCACAGCGTCTCTACCATCTCGGGCCCTTGGCTGGGCCACGTCTACGAGGCACGGCGACATATTGCACAGGTATATGGCAGTCAGTAGTTATTCATCATCCATAATGTTAACGATTACAGCATGTCGATAACAAACCTTGGAGTTAAATGAGTTTGTGCACTCAGCTACGCCTGCGCCTCGGCGGTTCAAGGTCACTCCCTCCCGTCCCTGACAGGAGGGATGATTCCCGGGCCGGACTGCGAGCACACACATCTTGCCTCAAGGTCAAGTGTGCCACTATTTAGAACAAATAGATACATAAAACACTCAATCTTGTGGGTGGGTAAAGTATGGGCCAGGACCTTGAGCTGGGATAAAGTTGGCCGGCAGCTCGTATATTTCGTCCTGTACTTGTATTTCAGCTTGACACCTCACCCCCCTCTTTCTCCCTCCTTCGTTTTACTTTAACATCTTGAAGTCCCTCATATGTGGCTGAACGCGAAAAGTTAGCATTGATTTTTGTCATGTAAGAGCTCACCGGAGTGCAACGCGGAAGGATCCCGATCGTCTCGGGATGACAAACTGTGTTTATCAATCAGCCCGCTGGCCAGCTGAATTTAGACTCCGCAGCTTCCTTTAAGCTGCTCTGTCAAACATGCCATGACCAAAGCTTCCATTCACCTATGGATGGTCGAAAAAATAAAAACACAGAGGGCCTTTGTGTTTGAGCAAGAGCAGGACAAGGCTGGGGCGCGTGGCGAGAGGATACACTTGATTTGGAGTCAGTTAGCAGCTCATGCCTATCGTAATGGACAATGGGGCAAGGGCAAGTATCTCCCTCCCCTTGGCTGTCCTCTCTCCCACTCCCTGTTTCTTGGCGTGCTTCCCCCTGGAGACACGAGCCGGGGGCTGGGCGCTCTGATGGCCAAGCGTGACATTTAAACCCCTGCCCTGCGGTAGCTTTAAGGGAGGCTTTGTGGAGGAGATGGGGGGGCGCAAAGAGGTCCATCTGAGCACAGAAAAAGAAAAAAGGGTGCAAGGACAGAGGCTCACCCTATAAAACCCCTATCCCTCGATTCACCCCCCCCCAAACACACCCTCCCCTGCAGAAATCCTCAGTGTGCTACTGCAGTGGGGGCCCCATTGTGCGAAGGCCTGCCGCTGAAGAAAAGGGCCCTTTGGTGGTAAACAATTCAGCTGTCCACTCTGATCACAATGGGGGCACATCCCATTGCTTTGAGCATCTGTTTCGAGTAGGTACTGGTCCCATCGCCACTCTGCAGCACTGACCATAAATACCCGGTGACCGACTAAATCCCTGAATCTGCTGGCCCACTACCACCTGCTCTCAGTCTCCCCTCCTTTTATCATTCCTTCCTCGGATCAATACTGTTGACTCCACTGCAGTGTCTCTCAAAAGACACGTTGAATAGCCTCGTGTTGGCTGTTTAGTGGGATCGCATGCTTTTTAAGTTGTGTACAGTGTGGAGGCCAACTGTACGAGCTGATTAAGTTATGCATGAGGAGGGAGATGCTTTTCTGTCATGACACAAGGCACCAGGAGTTTATCAGTGGAGGCCTCACGCTGGAGGCTCGTTGCATGGCTACTTATCGCCCCCTTGTGGTTGTTGTGGATACTTGCTTGTGAGCTCACCCTCAGATGATAAATGTTCTCCCTGTGCAAACATATTGTACAATGGTGGGAGAGGTATTAGGGTACTAAGGTAAAATTGACAATGCTTCAATATGGACATGCACCGGTACAAATTTAACTCTTACTGAACCTGAAGTCTTGAATGGTCTGTTACGAGAATACATTTGAAGCCATGCCATCATATTTTCAGTTTCTTCTTTAATCTGTTTAATCAAATGTTTTGCTTATTTTTTTATCCTCTATTTTTATGACTTTTTTTTATCTTTACATTTATTCCCAGTTAACCTCAAGTTTCTTTTCTGGTTTAATGTTGTTTTTTTATGTCTAACGTACCGGACTTCAATTGTTGGCTCATTATCAAAAGGTGGTATACAAATAAACTTGCTTTGCCATAGCAATAGAGTGTACTTCAAAAGTAAGCGGATGCATCTGGCAGTAATATTATAGTATATTAGATTTCTTAATGAAAAATGTTAATGATGCATTCATATCTTAGTATCATCTTGCAAAATCTATGTATTTGGGCTAAATAATAAAAATACATCAATTTATAAACTGGTATATTTAGTAAAGTCATCTGCAAAGAAACTGGAGCTAAGATAAATTAAATTGAACAAGAAGTACAATAGTCCTCTCTGGAATCCAGAGTTAGGTTGAGCAGAACAGAAACAATCAGTAAAAGTATCGTGCATGGTAAGTAAAGAGAGTATTGAGTTAGTTTTGACCTCTGGTGACATTCAGCATGTTGCTATTTTAATTAATATGGAACAGTACAAGAATGTTCTGAGTCAAACTTTTTTTAATCCTTTCTCTGCATACATTTTTTCAGAAAATAACTGAATGACATACTTTCTGGATTTCCTCCAAAGCATCGAGCGGGATGCTCTGCTGGGGAAGCGCTAATCAGCTCGGAAACATTTGCTGCCCTTCTGGCAAGGTCAAAAGGGTCACGGTCCCCGGGCTGGGTGTCCACTCCATCCCTCCCTCCTCCCCTGCTGCTGTAAAGCCCAGCCCCCCCTTGAGGCCCATAGGCCCTGCAGGCACAATCACCGCACAGCGACTATATGCTCACAGAAGCTGGCTTTAATCTATATGGAGCCCTGGGATGGACTGCGGCTGTCTGTCCATCAGTCTGTCAGCGGGTCTTGCCTTGACCATACACTGGACCTCAGCTATCGACTCAGACAGAGCGAAACCCAGATTTCTGATTGGTCTGCAGAGGCGTCCGCCGAGCCCCTCCTGCTGTTTGACCAGCTGATTGATCTGTTAACACTGGCCGCTGGACGTGTGTCCCTGAATTTAATTTCAGAATTCATTTCTGGGAGATGTGTGTGTACAGAAATGATGTAGGGTCCCAGGATCGGAGTGAAGGATCGAGGCTCGAGGAGAAAATTGCAATTTAGATTTCCGTCGCTATCACTCGTTCTTGTGTTATTTCTTTCATATTCAATATTCAAGTCTTTGTTTCAAAGAATTTCTGTATCTGTATTTCCATTGCATGTTTCTTTTTATTTTCTATGCCACTGGATTCATTTTGCCTTTTGGGCTCTACGTATCGGTTCATTTCTGTGATATAGTGTTGTTGTAATGTCTATAGCAGCGATATTTGTTATCCACACTACATGACTAGACCTGTAAAGGTGCCTTTACTGTCATTGCATTTTATCACTTATCAATACCCAGAGAACCCAACGCTGTCAAAATAATAAAAAGTGTTGAAAAATGCCAGTGGAGTGGGGCTGAGAGGTTAGGTAACCCTGATTAATTTCACAGCTCATAAATAGTGTGGATGCTCCGATGTGTGGGTATCGTCCACCATGGATTTCCCAGGTCTATTCTGCTTTTACGCTTCTCCATTATCAGAAATATCCATAAAAACACAGAGATGGACGAAATGAAAGTGGTGGTCAAGACAATGCCCATGTTAGGAAGTGAGGGTTGATTTGATGGAGTCTCTCGCTCTCTTCCCCCCCTCTGGCCTGCTGCAGACACGGGGAGTGGGGGGGATGCTCGGATATGCATCACAAAGGCTTCCTGCAGTATTGATCTGCAGTGGGTTAAGGCAGTCTATCAGCAAATGTCCCTCTCTCTGGGAAAAACAATAGGAGATTAAAAACACACAGCTTGCTGGGCGGGAGGCTGCTGATGGGCCCTTATCTGGGCCCAAAGGTCACTGTGTACCGATATAATCCACTTTCACTTAACAGCTTCATTTAAGGAACCACATGCAAATGGTGGCATTTCGGGGTCTATTCAAAGATTGAGGTTTGTTTTTCCAGAGGCAGGTGAAGTAAAATGTTTTCATCCCAGAGGACAAACCTTCAAGTTTGCTTGTTGTTGATCCTTAAAGCACTTTTAAATAACATTAATAAATGAATCTGGCTTTATAATTACGTGTCACATCAACTAACAACTCGCTTAAAACACAGAGGACATGAAATGAATGTAGTTTTGTCTTTTATTCAATATTTTCAGTGCTGCTTTGTACACAAGCAACAGAATTGTACAAAAAAACCAGACACAACCATTAACAAACAGTTCTATAAATGATTATTCAAATTTCATAGCTAAATTATAATACATCCTATTAACACATCTGTATTTCATTCAAATGAACTTTTTAGTGATGTTTCATCACAAGTGTGAAACAAGGAATTCTCTTTAAAAAAACAACCACATAACCTGTAATCAAACTTTAAAAAACATCAGTGTAAATCAATACAGCCGTGCTGCTGTGTGAGCAGTGGGCTGGGAGGTCAATAGTGTTCTTTGGGCTCACTGAATTTGCGTTTGCTCTTAGGCATGGGGATGGATGGTGTTTCCTGGCTGTTGGGAATGTCATATTGAGAGACCTGAAAACAACAGAAGAAACACAGTTGACAAAAATCACCCACCATGTTTTTCACAAGTCTTCTGACTGCATGAAAGCAAAGTGATCAGCGCTGACTCATCTCTGAAACAAGGTTCCCACACACTTTCCACTTCAAAATACAATCTGCCAGAGAATTTTAGAGGAAATGTATTCTCATTTTCAATTCCAGATTGAGTTATGTGCGAATGTGTGCACATTTTCCATCCACAGTTAATATCTTAACTGATATTTGAAACATCAAATTATCAATATACTTTCCAGACTTATCGGACATTAATTCAAATGCTGCATAATTAATGAAAGGATGTGGAGTTGCAAGCACATACAGGTCTGTTGTTCTTATTGAATAATGCATAACATATCTTTTACAGGCTTCATTCAGAGCTTTTTATTTATACTAAATTATTTATTAAATCAGGATAAAGCAAGAGTCTGTGAGGACTAGTTTCTCACCATTCTGTTCTTCATAGCTGTCGGCTTGTTGTTGATGATTAAGTTTGTCTTCTACACAGAGACACACACACACACACGTCTTGTTACTTTCAACATAATTTCATTCACACTTTGATCAACATTTTTTTTTCATCTGAAACGTGTCAGTTTTCAAACAGAAGATTCTTAATTTTAAAGTAAAACATGATTTCATTTTCCCTTCTGCTCTCTCTTCAATCACAGTGACTATGATGTTTACATTATACATTTATACTGAAACAGCCCAGTTTAAGATCAATGCTACATTCATCAGAAATGACTTAAAATAACCTGAACAGGCTCCTAAAATCTGGATAAGATGTCCGACTTATAACATTAATAAAATAATTACTGTTGCACAAAAACACGCACACTATAAACTCAGAAGGTGGACAAACAGAGACTTCCCATTTACTGGTTTAGTAAAAAACTTGTAAAAACTGAAGGGATTATAGCATCAGGGCATTGAGGGTTTTTCAGAGTAAGGGTGTTTCTGGTTATCTAGCTGTAACCGTGCGCAGAGACAATTGGTGGCTGTTAAGCTGTAAGTGGTTGACTGACCGTGGCCGCCTTGATGATCCGTCCACTCCTGGTCCTCTTCACACCCACCTCCATGTCAGAGGTCCTCTTCACCAGAGTGTCCATCTGAAAGGGGACATATGGCCCGTAATACCGACCCTACACAAGTGGCCATTCGCTTTATGTTTGCACAGAGCCGACAGTCACTCTGCTCGTTGTGATTGCTGGTCAACCTTTAGATAGATATTTTTTTATATTTCTAAATTCAAATAACCCAGTGAAAGGCTTTCCATTCACATTTTAACAGTTGAAATCTTTTTAAACTGACATTTTCAGTCTGATCGTTTCCCATTTGGCCAACCTCCATAACGTTTTATTCACCGTTCATGTTACTGATCCTTTTGATATGTTTTTTTTTTGGTTTTGTTTTCATCTCTGCCTCGTAAGGTGACCTTGAGTGCCGTGAAGAGCGAATATAAACATTTATTATTATTTATTATTAGTTTCTGAATGTATTAAATTCTGGGTTTAACATATTCTTCATGTTTAATTGCTGTTGTTTGGGAAAAGCTTTTTTTATTTTTTTTTTTCCATTCCTCACCACCAATTTCCATTCTAACAGTGATGACTGGAGCAGTTAGGATTAGTGAATCTATGCTCACAGTGGGTTGGGGCTGATGTAAATGTCACACCTACCTCTGTGATTTCTTCACAACTCTCCATCTTCTCACAACATCTCATTTGGGTTTCTTAAAAAAAAAAAAGAATTATACAAATTTGAAATAAAAAAAATTACACAATATGATTTTCATACAGTTTAAAATCATGTTGTTTCCACAGTTCTCATAATAATTCTAATAATAAATATACCAAATAAAAAACATTTTCTCTGGATTATGAGGACATCTAGGTTTGACAGTTCAACAAGAACAAGCTGAACTGTGTAAAAGTCTTTATATGTCAGATGAAGTGAAATGGTGGGGGGGGGGCTCACCAGTGTTATCCAAGTCTGTGTTCTCGTTGTCAGGTCTCTCCACGTCTTCAATCACATGGTTCTAAAGATTGAAAACATGTTATCTTAACATCATGATAGAACTTTGTTAACACACTGAGCACAACAGCAAACAGCCTCTGATAAAAAACAGGCCGACTATCACGTCTGACCTTTAGCTTCACTCGCAACATTTGAGTGTTTCTGAATTTGTGTGTTGACCTCAAAACGGCGCAAATTCATACTTGTCAGATGTCTTATAATCCTGAAGAACATGAGGTATCTGAAAACCATGATTATACAATTACATGTATCAGTTAAAAGTATGATTCTGATTTTAAAGATCCTCTGGGTCATGTATGGGCTCTGAGACAATTCATAAATACAAAGAAAGCAACTCAGAAATACCAAATGATTCTGATGACAGTGATTCTTTTCTGCAATAACAAGAAATGTACATAAAACAGTTGACAAGCTGACAAGTTGACAAGATAAGAAGCTAAACCCTCATTCAATCAATCAATGATTCATTCACAAAAGAATTTGAGAGAGATCCTTGTTTCTGCTGTGGAGCTGCTGGAACCCGACGAGGTAAAATGGTTCCATTGGTTTTGAAGAATGGTTGCAGAGTGGATTACTGACGTGACATTAAAGAAAAAAAGAAACGAAGAAAAAACATATATGACATATTAGAGCCCAGTTGATTTTTGGGGGCTGATGCTGATACCTTTATTGGGAGTAAAAACATTTCCTCTGATATGATATTATATCTATATTATTTTAATATCAATGAATACTATCACTATCAAATCTTTGACAACTTACTACAACTAAGTGTAATTGAGGATTAATATTTTACGGTTTGATCACAAACATTGTTTGTATGGAATGTGCAATACACAAAAATTCTGTGAGACTCATATCGGCTTCTTTTTATTGGCTAACTTATAAATAGTTTGGACTCTATAAGAAATGTACTGTTGTGCCATCGTCATCACTACCATCTGACATCAGAGGCCTCTCCAAAGAGAAGCAGTTCCAGCTGTAGCAACAGAGAAGTTACTGTGATATATCGTTCATTTCCTATGACCTGCGAAGGATGATGTTAAAATCTAAATGGACCTCAATAAGAAGAAGGTTTGCCTCCCCTGATGTAGAGCATGTGTTGTATAAGCAGAAATAACCCTAGAGTAATAGTGAACATGAATTTGATCATAAAGTGATTTATAGTGCAACACTATAACGTAAGTCAAAAGCATGACTGGAATGACTTTGCCCCGCTGAGTGTAAACAAGCTTTATGTCTGAGTTGCTTGTGTGCTGACCTGTGAAAGGACGCCCTCCCCCTCCATCTTCAGAACCCACTTCTCCATCACATTAACACTCTCCTCCACCTGCAAACATTCAGCAAAATGCAAAGCTGTCCATTAGAAATAAGCATGTTGAAGTGCTGACTTATTGATTAGGATGTTAATTAGGGAACAAGGCATCAAAAGCGTTCCATTAAAGACGGTCAATATCAAAGAAAGACTCCAACACAGTCATTGGGTTAGGCTTTCAATCCCTCTGTCTTCAGTCCCTTCACCTGCTCCAGCCTCTGTCTCTCTGTGGCCATGTCCATCTTCAAAGTGTGGAAGGGGGTGGCCACCTCGCCCATAGTCAGTTTGACCGGCTCCCTCTCAAATACCATGGTGTCACCGTCAGCCTCCTTGAAGCCTGGGGGCTGGTAGTCCTGAGGGGTAACTACAAAACAATCACACATATATACATGTATAATATAAACAATTTATTTTTCAGTTCAGCCTATATAAATGTATCTTTTACATACTTTTTTCAATTGTTTTATTTTTTCATTTGATTTAGATGTTGCACAAATATACATTTATTCGCTTGGTTTCCCCCTCCAGGCTTTACAAAAAAAATCATTCAGCGCAATGTCTAAAATGTGACACAAATGCATGTATGTATAAAATAAAAGCGTGTGAGAGAGTTCAAGAGGTGCAGTTCATGACATTAGCTTTAACTTTAAATCTAGTTTTTGAGGTATTACATGATTTTAAACCTTTTGATCAAGTCAATATATCCTCTCTTAGCACAAAGTATAATTATAGTGAGTTTCTTTGTGTTTGTTACCATCATCGTAGTAAGACAGCTTCATGTTGAGGCAGACGTTATCTGGCAGAGGACCCAGGTTCTGCATCAGAGTGTAGAGCTTCCTCACCAGCAGGACGCTGGCCTTCTTAGTGTCGCCACATGTCATGGTCGACACTTTATTGTTGTTGTTGCTGGAACAAAAATGAAGTTGCTCTTCAAGGTATTCAGTACACCAACTGCAAACATATATAACAGGTGCTAAAGGCTTGTGTAATGAAAGCAGCATTTAACACACAACCTGTTAAATGCTGTTAATACATGACACTGAGTGAAATATTTTCCGTTCCACAATCTCTCATCATATAGAATCGTTTCTTCAGGGTTTTGAGCAACTTGTTTATGTGTTTCAGGGATTCAGAGTGTTCAAAGGGTTAATTCCTGCATTCACTGAGTCATATTGAGACCGAAACTAGAGCAACGTCCTGGTATGTGAGCGTTAAGCCAATTTGTAGATGATTCATACTTATTGTATTTTCCTTTTGTTTGTTCCCCACACTGAGAGGAGGTTTATTCAACATCCCATTATCTTGACTGTCAAGCTTGACAAACTCCCACCTTTCAAAGTCCATCTGTGCTCCTTTTGCAGTGTACTGGATCTTAAACTGGTAAAACTCTGTCACTTTCTGCCAGACAAGACAAGAGGAGACAGTTGCTGTGCATGAGATGTACAGTAGCTTAATGGTATGGCCGATCCTGTACATTACCTGGGGGTTCTCTGGGTCAGTGTAGATCTAATAAAAAAAGGGCAAACAAACATATCATCGGCAACATGAATATTTCTACATTTAATTAAGGCATCCAATAAAGACTAGACACTGTAAGTATTCTAAATAATTGGTGACAGTTAAAGATATGTATGTACCGCTTATTACTTTGCTAATATCATTTCCCCAAGCGAGCTCCTGTGTATCTTAATAAAGCATTAAAAAGAACAAAACATAAGATTAGCAAAATACTCACAGACATGATAACTGTCCGGAGCTGTGGGAGGAAAAAAAAGCAATAATTCTGATCACATTAGTTACAATAAGAGACCAGAGACACAATCAACAATTAATTTGCTGGTCATGTTATCTTACATCGTCTCAACACGGTTTGCATTTCAAATCTTCCAAAGGTGGAAAAGGTTGAATATGACTTACATATCTCTGCTGGATGGCCTCAAAACATCCTTGCATCCTGGATAAATATAAAAACACACACGTCCAAGTAACTTTCACCTTATAATACACGATAACTGAAGTCACTAAGCTGTGTATCATCATCACATACAGTTTGAAGACAATAGACAATAGTCTGAGTTAGAAGCTGTCATGCAAACAGCCTGACAACAGACACAGACCTGCAACATGTTAACAGGAATGTGAAGGAACTTTCCATCAGCAACACATTTCAGTGAACTTAATGAAAATAATGTCTTTCAGTATTAGGTCAATGCTGCCCATGTAAACACAGTCACTAAATCACATTGTGTGTCTAAGATTTTTCTTTTCTTTTACTTTACCCACACATTCTTTTTTTCCTTATCATTTAAACATAGAAACTGTAGGGCCGAATCTTCACAGTAGCGAACCACAGCATCTTATAACATTATTAATAAACTTAAATAAAGTGTCTTAACATGAGATTTTTTAGACAAAACTATTGTGATATGTTTCTGTCAATATCACCCAGCATAATCTACGTTATGACTCACAACCAGTTTATTTCAACAGTAATTACAAATCCAAAAAGGTGGAGGACGTTTATTAGTGTAGTGATCCCGATCAATAGCTTTGACCAGCAAGTGTCAAGGGGTTGTTATTTACCACTGGACGATCTGAGAGGCTCCAGGACAGCTGCGCACCTCTCTGAGGATCATCACTTTCTGATCTGTGGACGGTAAAAAAATACAGGGTATGAAATCTTGTTTGTAAATATTTCCAAATGGTATATGACGTGCAGACATGCAAGCACATTTCCATGAGTTATCCTACCATCAACATATTTGTTCCCGTAGGCTTTCTCCGGGAAAAGGCCCCGCAGGTATGTGATGCCAGACACCGCAATAGCCAGAAGCTTCTTTATAACAACCAAGGACTGCTGCTCTGTGATAACCTGATTAGGCAACAGCTGAGTATCCTGCATGGGTGAATCAAATGAATCACAAACTGAGTGCAGCTCATCACACTCAACACAAACAGTCCAGATGAGACAGACAACAGCTGGAGGCGAAGGAGGGAGACTAACAACATATTTCACATCATATAAAACACTAATTACAGGTGAATCTATCAGTTTTTACACATGATGCAATACTGTCTCTCTGGAGACTAAGATATATAAAGCATATGTGCAGAGAATTAGTGAGGATCATCCTCTGAATCAAGTTGTAGTAAGATTATTAGTATGGACGATAGCAATATAACAAAAGTCCAATATGTATCTGCCTACATACAGTGTGTACGACACATTAATGATCGACTTCAGATTTGTTAAACGTTTTGCTGTTTATCAAGTGTTTGTAATTCTCATGGTCGACACACCAAGTGATCTCATCTGTAGCTTATAATTAATATGAGGATCAGCTCGTTAGCTTGAGTTAGCAGCATCACAAACCCCTGAATGTACTTTAACTTCAGTCAGTGTTACCTGGGAGGATCTCACTTGCTGCACACACGCCATAACTCAGACGTGGAAACAACACCAACGAGGAGCTGGAGAGAAGGAAGAATAATTAGAATAAAATTTTAAAATGGCTTCTTGAAGCTAGCTTAGTTTAGGCTAGCACCTTTACATCTCACTGCACCGCTGTGACCTGCCACAGGCTGCGTTAGCCTTTACCGAGCCTCCTGCTGCTGCGGGCTCACTCAGCCAACATGGTGAGGATGGAGCGGATACTTACTCTGACCAGATGCGACTGAACTTGAACAAATTAGCGACGAGGTTCCATCAGTTTTTACAGAGATCTGTTCCCGCTAAATGTCTGATTGACGGCTCACCGGCAAGTAGCCAATCACGGAGCAGTTCGCTTCGGAGAGGCTGACTGTGATTGGCTACTTGCCGGCGAGCGTCTTTGTAAGTTTGCCGCGGGGATAGAACATGACAACAAACATGGCTGCCGCTGCTCTGGTGGATTTTAGTCGCTCGCTGATGTCAAACAGTGTTCGTTAAATGTCGCGCGTATTTATTCTTTGTTCGATTAATTGGCGGGGTGGCTACAGTCACCAAGGTGCTTCACCGCCATTTTTGTCGCTTACTTCCGCCTCTGCTATGAAGAAGTAGCCAATCAGAGTGAGCCTCGCTGAAGCGAACTGCTCTGTGATTGGTTACTCGCCGCTTTTATTCCAGGTGATGTGTTTTGACGCAGCGCCCCGCCCCCCTAGTCTCCATTTTGTGAAGTCACTGGACAACAAGCTGTCACTCACGGACAGATCGACTCCCATTGGCTCCGCGTGAGCCCTCGCCGCTCTCCAATTGGTTACTGTATGCGTCAATCACGAGGGGCCCCTCCCCTCCCTCACCCCTCCTCCCTGTGGTGATGTCACATCTCGTTACGCCATTTTTGTCGGGGAGCAGTCGTGTTCTGGGGAGAGGAGGAATACACCGAGCACAGCTCTCAGCCAACGGCTCCGCTCGTCGAGTTGTTCCGGTAACCGGGACGCTTGCTCGCCCGTCACACTCGCGCCATGTCGTCGGAGAACCCGGACTCGGACACTCAGGTGGACCACGAGGACGAAAAACAGGTGGGTTGTCTCCCTCACTGCTAACCCTGCTAGCATGAAGCGGCTAACGTCAGCTAGCACTAGTGGAGTGTTTGTAGCGTGCACCGGAGGAGGAGGAGGGGGGGAGAGAGACATGCGGGGGTGTGGGGTGCTTGATGCGGGGAGCAGGAGAAGCGCTTCACCGCAGCTGTCACCGCAACACGCTGACGCTCCTCGCCACTGTGTCACTTTGTTTTTGTCTCTTGGCGTGTGTCATTGGCTGGAGAGTCCACAGCAGCTCGGGCCTCATTGGTCTGTCCTGGGGGGGGGGGGTCCAAAGTCCCAAAAAACACCATGATAACCACAACCAAGTGACGTCACGCAGTCCACTTGTGCCTTCTCTGTAAATATCTGATTGTAAATAAGATCCAGGAAGTGACTGTCAAACTGATTCATTGTTTTTATATATATATATATATATATATATATATATTGTTTTTTTACATATCAGTTCTCTCATATGAAAGTGTATTGTTTGCCAGTACTACACCACCACCCCATCATAACCATAACCATAACAACCATAAAAATACCATATAACGACCATAATAAGTGTAACAAAGTTAGTGCTGACACCGGACTGCTTCTGATTTGCTTTGATCAACTTTGCACGCCTGCAGTTTGGAAAAACAAACTCAAAACTGTTTTCTCTGCTCACGTCCTGATATTCCTTATGGTCACATGACGTGACAGGACATCAACTGCAGAGTACCAGCGCTCCAGCATCATTGCATGATCACCAGCAGACACATGCACATAGTAACAACATAGTAAACTTCACACACCTGTGGTCAGCAGAGAAGGGAAAAGAAAAAAATGTCAAAAACAAGTAAAAAAAAAACACCTTTATGGTCATGATTTAATTGGATTGAGATCTCTATGATTTGTACAAAAAGTATACAATCTTCAAACAGTGCACAAGCAATTGGATTAAAATGCATTGGAAAAAATAGGGAACATTACAGTTTGTTTTGATAATGACATAATGATAATTACACAATGTTATCTAAATTGAAAATAATGCAGAACAAATATGCAGCACTTGCAAACCGGTCTTTAACTGGACACAGAACCGTTGGGTGTTTGAAATTCAAACTGAAAAACCTACTAGTTGATTTGTTTTGATTACTCAGACGTCTAACTCGTGATATAAAAACATGGCAGCCATGCACACCAGCCCTTGGCCGCTGAACAGTTGGGTTGTTGAAATCCAAACCTGATGGTTTCTCAGCATTTATAATCTTGAATGTGTACAATATAAGTGCAGTCATAAATTTGCAGTGAATGGTAATTATGTGAAGTGTTTTGACACACCAGATTTCAAGCATATTTTGGTTCTTACCCAACCACAAATTCCGTGGTTAATCAAAAACACATCAGGGCCACCTCAAACTCACTGACCCGAAGACATGACACCAATTAAACCCATATAACTTTATTTAGGTTTTTCTTATGTGTTACAATGTTAGTAAACATTCAAAATAGGTCATGGGAATTATTTCTTTAAAATGCAGCTTCTGATACCTAAAACTTTCAAGATGGCTGCTTTTAAACCTGCGCTCGTTATATGGATAACCTCATGAAATTATCCAGAGGAGCTGCATGTGTGAATACTGCAGGTTATGCGGATTCCCTGCAGGATGTTTCTAACACATGATAGACACAAAAATAAAAACAATAGAATGCATATGTCTATATTATTTATTTAATATTAATATATATTATATCTATAAAAACTGATCCATATGTGTAGAGGATGCTTAGGAACACGTCAACTTTGAAAGACGACATGATTTGAGAGCTTTAGTGATATTCTGTTAAATGTGAATTAGCTTCAGTTAGGCACTGTAACAAGCAGATGTAGTTTATTCTTTAAAATAGTGTTGATGAAATGTTCAAGTTAAACTTGAAACCTCCCTACGTGTTTTGTTTTTTTACGTTGCTGCACAGAGTCATTCTAAAACAGTTGAACAGTTTGCACAAAAAGCGGTTGGATTTGTAGTTTCCCTGAGTCTGGGCCAAATATAATGGCTCATAAATTTCTCGTCTTGGATCCGAGTGAATCAGCATACTCGGTTCCACACGTCCCCTCTCCCCCTGATGGAAACTGTTTTTTGGCCTCTGTGTCCTGAGTCACATTTAAACCCCTCACCCAGCAGGTTCTGCAGTCTCAATGTCCCATCTTGTCTGCATAGTGGAAGTAGGTCTCTGCCGTCTGCTCCAGGTGTATGTGCAGGGAGTGTATAAATGGCCTTTGGAGTTTGTGCACTAAAGTCCCACATGCACTTAACACCTGCTATTTACCTGACAAGGACTTTAACAACAGGAATCGGACCAGTTTTGTCAGTAGCAAGTATATAGACACTCCTAGTGTCAAGTTATTATTTCTTGACACACTTACAATTCCTAGAAGGTTTCAATCAAACACAAAACAACATCATCAGTTAATTCACATTAACTAAGACAAGGCATCATTAGATTCACTGTTTCCATTGTTATTTTGAAACAGAGACAGATGTGAAACTTGACGAATACAAATGACTCAAGGTGAAAAAAAAAAGGAGCCATACTCAAAGAAGATGCTGACAAAGACGACCACTTGGAAAGAGTCAACAAAAACACTGAGCTTTCCAATGCAGATTTTCTACATCATGTCCTGCCTCCTGCTGCTCTACCCAGGCTCCACCCTCACCTGAATGTTTCCCACATTCTCCCAGACAATCTCCTGCTGCGTCCTTTATATGACAAGCAAACTCTGAAAATAACAGCATGTGAGAACTTTTAATCTAGAAATCAACAACCCTCTTATTGCTCTAAGGGAAGTTCTCTAATTTAGAATTTGCAACAATGATTCAACATAAACAGAGTTTAAGAGGTTTAGAGGTTTAAAATGATATTTGTCAGTATAATATTCTGAAAACCCTTCTCTTCTTTCAAATACAGAGCTCTCTCCTCTTCTTGAGTTGTTTGCTCTCAGGCATGATGGTGATATTAGAGACTGTAACAGAAGAACCTTCATTCTGTGACTCATGCTATCATGAGGTATCTTTGTTTCCCACAACAGCTCTTCAAGAGCAGTTGTACTATTCTTGAAGAGTGAAGCGGCCCTGGGCTCCACGGCTGTGGTGTTTTTGTAGAACCAGTGACTGAAAAATGAGTACCTGTTTCGGATGTTACAAGGTCCCTGTATTGTGCAAAACAAAGCTGTTTATGTCTGTTTGTTCTCATCTCCGCAGGATGCCCAGGAGAAGAATGCAAACCCAGCAAAGGCAGAGGAGGCCAAGCTGAAGGCCAAATACCCTGCTCTGGGACAGAGGCCCGGCGGCTCAGACTTCCTCATGAAGAGATTACAGAAAGGGGTAGGCAACCTAGTTTTGTGGGAGATGAGAACAGTTTGGAGATGTAGTTGTGCCTCATTAAAAATCAGTCACAGATTTTATTCAGTCATCAAACCTCTGAACTGTCCTGCTTATACCAACACCACTAAACACAACTTCAGGCTCAGGCCTTGTTTAGTCAACCTCAAGTACTTTACAGACGCTGAAGAATCCTTTTGTAAAACTGAAAACACAGCTGTGTGCCACATACCTTTCATTCCTTTTTCTATATCCTGTGAATTCTTCTGTTTTTGTCTTTGTGCCACAGATAACTTGCCTCGTGTAGACCTGATAATGACACGTCTGAAAAATGACTGATAAACATTACGTGTCCCTCACAAACACAGGTTTCTATCTCGAGGCACTGTTGTGTTGTTCATTCAACAGTCCTATAGGGCGAAGCAGAGAGAAAAATAATTTCTCTAGCATCCCAATCTCAGTCGAGCAGAATGCCAATGCAGCCACATCCATAGCATGTGAAATATAACAGCATGTTTGATGGATTGTTTTTATTTGTAATTTGTACAGCAGGCCAAAGCAGACAGAAGCATCAGTCTCTCTCCTCGCTCACTTCTCCTCCACTGGAAAAACTGTTGCTCTCTCCACCTACACGCACTGTATATGCTACAGAGAACCTCCACCTCTGGAGACTGCTGAAAGTCATTCTGGGAAATCACTGACTAGAAGTAGGAGTAGTCGAGGCAGGCTGAGCGGAGAGCCAAAGAGTAAATTGCTGTACTTCATCATAAGATAACTCCCAGAATGAAAATCATCGGAGAATGATGATTTCAAGGATAGTTATAGAATCTGAGAGGTTTTTTTTGGGTGATTGAATCAGTGCAATGCAATCGTAAATAAAATTATTTCATTCAAAGGTTTAAGTTTTGGTGTACATTTTTTCCACGATGTATTTTAACACAATACTCTGGCTGTAATAATCCCGCCTGTTCACACTGGCTGTGGCAATTAGAGCCTTTCACAGTTATGTTGGTATCATCGTTAATGTTTGCTGATATAGGAACTCTTATTAAATAAACAATAAGAACATTATGTGAATTTATGTTTACAAAAAATATGCTTGTTGGCTGCTTTTACGCAGCTGGGGAGGTTTACAGGTGCAAGTGTTTGCACAGCACTGAATGCAGCTCAAGCCTTACATCACCGCCAGCACACTGGGTTTTGTCCTCCATCTCTTGGGCTTGTGTGAGGAACGCCCGTCCACAGGACCAGTACAGGCGCTGACCAATAACTTTTAGTGTACACATGGGTATGTGAATGTTGTTATGATTAAAAGCTCACCTTCCCTCTTGTCTGTGTTCTCACACAGCAAAAGTACTTTGACTCGGGTGACTACAACATGGCCAAGGCCAAGATGAAGAACAAGCAGCTCCCTGTGGCGGGGCCTGACAAGAACCTGGTGACCGGCGACCACATTCCAACGCCGCAGGATCTGCCCCAGAGGAAGTCGTCCTTGGTGACCAGCAAGCTAGCCGGCTAGCCTTCGTCATGCCAGAAGCACCCTCCCCCTCTCCCTGGGGCTCCCGGCAAAGGTCCCTCCTCCTCCTCACCCGTGTCCCCAATGAGTCCCTCTCCTCACCTTCCCCTCCCTTACCTTTTCATCCCCAGGCACCACTGGCTTTAACATATCGGGCAGAGTTGTATAAGTTAGAGCTCCATTTGCTTGTATGTGGGTGGGGCGGGGTGGGAGGGTATGGTTTTGGCGGCCCACAAGGTCGCAGCTGTCTCTGCCTTCCCACCATGCACAGCTCTGCCCCCTCTGCGCACTCTGCTCTACCGCCTCCCTTGTCTTGGTTTTCGGTGTTCCAAGATGCATCACAGTAGGTGTGTGTCATCGGGCAGGGGTCGGATGGGGTCAGTTAATGCACTTTGTATTCTGTATAGTATGTTTTTGTTCTTTTTTTGCATCCTGGATGACACCAAAATAATGTGTGTGTGTGAGGGAGCTAGGAACCATGATCGCAGCGTGTTCTTTACGTTCCCTTTCTCTCTGGGTGGCAGCTTCTGAGGGAGGTGTTGGAAGATGCGTGTGAATAATTGCTTGCATACCAAATTGGTTAGGGCAGCCGCCTGGATTAAAAGAGTTGCTGAGCATTCACTGACACCATGTTGGGAAATGGTGGCAATTGAATGGAGGCTTCCTGACAGCTCATCCTTCGGTCACCTTGCGTCAAACAAAGCCAGAGGTCACCTGCTACAGCTCAGCCAAAAGGGGATTTGAAACGCTGCCTTTTTGTTTCACTCTCTGCTCCTATGGCTTTAATTCTCAACTCCCTTTGCTCCTGTTCTCTCTAAATATGCTGCATGATTGTAACATGTAACAAAAAAGAAATTTAACATGTTTTTTAAAGGGAGTGGGGCATCTGCTTATTGATAGGAAGAATCAAAACAAACACATGAAGACCTGAAATGTCTACAGTCACACTCCCTTCCTCTTCCTCTTTGCTGTCCTGACAATCCACATGCACACACTTGTTCGCGGCCTAGGGTAAGAGCTCAGTTTAGTATATCCTTGTATAATTTCCAAAGGCTGGGGACCCCTGCCATTCTCTGACTTCTGTCTTAGTTTGGTTGCATCAAGATGTGTGTTTACTATGAGCCTAAAAGATTTGTGGGGGGATTGAAGCACCCTACGTAGAGTATATGCTTCTGTAAATAATACTCCAACACGCATGTAGTTTGCGATAAGCTCAGCGCTTTGAGTACCAGCTAGCATGCCTGAGGAAGACGGTAGTGCTAAATCCACTCACTTGGGATTACAACCTGGGATTTTCTGGCTGGGGAAATTCTTCGCTTTACCAACTGAGCCAAATTTCACACTGCAGCTATGATCCGGCTCAGAGACTGCAGATACCCAACCCATTTAATGTGTCTGCTAACAACTGATCATCTGGCTCCCGCCATAATGATTTTGCTGACTCCAAACATCTCTTCAAGTTAGTATCTCAAGTGTCAAGTCTGAAGGTGTTTTCGACACGACTGCCATGTCATATCACAGAAGTCGCATTAAAAAGACAAAAGTAACCACAGTCCTAGCCTTCGTAGTCGTTTCCCACTCAGCCATGTGCAGTAAAAAAAAGATTTTCACACTGCAACTGATCAAACATGACTTATTCTAGCTGCTTAATGGATGCTGGTTTCTCATTGTTTAAACTCTTTCAGATTATTTATCACAGTCAGATTTAGTTGTGTCTATTCCAAAACACTAACCTAAACGATCACATATACTTTACTTCACTAATCCTGAACTGGAGTTACTCCGACTCCCAGCACCCTTGAGAACGATGTTTCCTTTTTCTTCCCCAATTTACACTGCACAGACTGATTCGTGTCAGATCGTGGTAAACAGCAACCTGAAAACCACAGGTGTCAGCCCAGCTCAGAGCGACGTCACGAGGCAAGCTTAAAGTGGGACGTTGCATGCTTGCGGGATGTGCTCACTCCACCACTTGGCGAAGCGACGAGATTGTATAACAGATGGTGAGGGGGCAACTTGTGAGCAAGTCCCACCTGTTAATGTGGTTCAAGCTCTGAAACAGGTCACCGGAGCCATCACCAAAATCTGCAGACTTGAAATGAATCGAAACTGGACGCCGGCGCTCGCCGAGAATCAGCCTCCTTGTAATAATAACTGCTTCAGGGAACCTTCACAAACGCACACCTCCATGTAGACTAGGTGATAGGGTGCACGCACCATCACATTCTCAGCCTTGTTATGTTTTTCATTGAGATTTTTAAATGTGTCAAACTTGCAGTGGATGAAAGAAGTGACCTCTGTGTATGTGCGTGTTACACAGTTGTATGAATGCATTGCTTTTCTCTGTTCCAGCCGTTTGTAAATAGACTTCAACAGGACGGGATTCTGTGTGTTTTTTTGTTCTTTTTCCCACCTGCTTTTCACTCTGTCAGAGCCTGAGCTATTTCTGATTCAAGGGTTCCTCTTCTTTTCAGTTTAACACTACTTCTGCTCTATCTGCAGAGGCTATGTGAATCTGTATCATATGAAAATATGTGTAAATGCTGCTGATTCAGTCAAAGACAAATCTTAAGAGATGATGCCCTGTAAAGAACACCTGTCCTCTCGGTTCTACCAGTCAGTCTCTCCTCTTTCTGCCAAGTATCTGTCCTACGACAAACTCCAGAGACGAACTTGATTAGCTTTCAGACCACAGTAAAATTTAGTGCATATCCGACCAAAACAATTTAAAATTACTTTGTTGAATTCAATCCTATTTTCGGTCTGGCCAGTTCTTAAAATCTGGATTGCTTTATGACAAAACAAGAACAGACCGTTAAGCTACAGTTTCCTGCTTAAAGTAAAGGTTGCTGAAAGATGACATGTTCTAAGAAACAGCAGTGGACAGGAGTTCTTGAATTCTACTTGATGCTCGGCTTTGCACAGAAAAGTTTAACGAGAGGAAATTGCAGGGTACGTTTCAAACCCACCAAACAGGGTGTCTCTCGTTCAGCTACGTGCCAGAATGTATAAAGAAATGACGGCTGTGTGATCTGAAGTACTTTTGTGCTGCTTTTACATTTATTCAATTTTCTTGTTGTTTGGCAAGTAAATGTTTCTACTTTTTGATTTTTCTCTTGTGTTTCTGTTATAACATAATTAGTTTTAATTGTGGCCCCAGACAACTGCAGGAAAATCAGAGGCAACCTAGCTTCCAAGACAAAATAAATAAATAAGGGTTTACATTAAATTAAACAAAAGAGGATGACTGAAGAACACAGGAATGATTTAAAGAATTCAGAAAGTACAGGAGAACTTGGAATGTTTCAGTTGTGTGGGAGTCGGTGAAAGGATTTTTGTCAGTATTTGAAATAAACTTTTACATTAATAACATTTCTCTGTTGAATTATTTATTATTCATTGATGTTACTTATACCAGTGATGTGTTTGTTAGTGTTAAGCTGAGAATCATGTGAGAGAGGTGCCCAAGTATGAGCACAACCTCGTACTCAGCACCAGGGGGAAGCAGAGTCATTCATTTCCAATGTGGCGATTTTACGAGAAAGTTCTTGAACTTCTCAGTGCTTCGAGCACTGACGACAAAAGAGGAGAATGTTTAATGAGACTACCAATGGACACATTCCACCGGCTGCCAAGAACCACATAGTTATCAAAGTAGAAGGAATGTGTCAATCAGCCTCATGATAATAGAATCATCTTAACAAGTAGATTTTCACATAAAATGTAATTGTGGTGCATAAACAGTGAGTAGCAAAATAAGGGGAAAGATACAGCAAATTTAAAAAACAAGTATTTTATAGGTCCAATGTGTAAGATTTAGGTGAAAGGGAACTGTTGGCAGAAATTGAATGTAGAATAATTCTCATGATGTTTTCATTAGTTTGTTTCATCTAAATTGTATGAATTTATAGTTTTCTTTACCCCAGAAAAGGCCCTTTATATTTAAATACTTTATATTTACATCAAGTGGACCCTCTCTACGGAGGGCGCCATGTTCTTTACATTAGTCAAGACTGGACAAACTAAACACCTTTTGAGTTTTTATGACAATTAAGGGTTCCCACAGTTTCTTTTTCATTTTTGGAAGGAGAGGGTGAGGTGAGGGATATTCCACATGCAATTTTAACACTAGATATCACAAAATTCTACACACTGCACCTTTAAGTACAAGGAAAACGAGACAGGAACAGTAATACAATAGCTCTAAGATAAATTTAAATACATAAACAGATAAAAAATATACAGGTAAAGGGTTTTGTTTCCTTATGAGCGTGACCAAATGGTTTTATCCTTTAATTTTAATTTGCTGCAGTAAATTAATTATAGGGCCTCGCCTCTAAAGTGTTTTCTTTGTTTCTTCAAAAGGAGGAAGTGAATCACTTACAACCAAAAATAGATAAAGTAATAAATAGATTATAACTGCACATTTACTGGTAATGTTATGGTTTAAAAGGATTTTACAAGATTATAAAAAAGGAGCACACATAATTTAGTAATCATTATTATTACGTTAACTGAGAAAGTATTTATTTTCTCTATCAATACTTCACAAACTGTGATGTCATGGAAAAATACCAATTATCACCAAATTATTTTTTAAAGGAATATTTCAAGCGTCACAGTCACCAGCCCCCCCTCTTGTTGTTGTTGTTGTTGTTTACTCTCCTGAACAAACAAATTACAGGTTTAAAAAAGACTCGAGCGGAAGTGATGACGGTGATGACGCTGTGTGACGCGGCACGTGGGGAGCAGGGGAGTCAATAAGTAGGCGGCTCGCTTCCGCTCCTCCGCCTCAACCCGCCAGTGCAATGGACGAACATTAACATCAAGCTAGCTCTTTGTTTACCGCAGCTAGCTTCAAATTATCGCTACTGCGTTTTTTTTTTTTGGTTTTTTAAGAAAACTAAATCATTTCACGAAGAAACCTCTCACCCCCCCCCCCAGAGCAACACAGAAGAATCGAACATGTTAGTCAACACGCAGCGGAAGTCCCTTCACTTGTCCGCCGGAGTCATGAGCTGTTTTATCCTGCCTCAAAATGGAGTCGCTGAAAGCGCCAACGTCTACGGGTCGTCGGGAAATTCCTCCCCGCAGTTAGACTCGCGCAGCGCGGGCGTCGGCGACGTCGCGAAGCGGCCGAAAAACCTGCAGGTCACCGCCATCCCCGGCGGATACGCGGCGAAGATCTGCCGGGAGAACGGCGACGTGGACGGCGGCTCTCTGCCGTGCACTCCCGAGCCCGAGTCGCACGACGACGTGGACAGCTGCTCGGCCGCGGACGAGTTGCTGGAAAGTATCACCCGGGAGCTCATCAGTACGTTCTTCACGGACTTTGTCGGCCACACGGAGCCGCGGTTTTACGACAGCAAAGCGCTATCGACGATGAAGAGAGTCGTGGACGGAGTTCTTGAGAAGCACAGATACGCTTACAATGGTGGGTACATTCTGCGATGCTAACGTGGCTGCGCCTCCTCGGTGCAGACTCCATGTTTGTAGGAGCTGCTTGCACTATACCATGGAGGTGCTCTGAAGTCAAATCGAGTTTATCCTCATTGTTAATATCAGTTTAAATGTTCCTGAACTTAGTTTTTTTAAATTATTATTCCAGGTATGATCAACAAACTGTCACTGGACGACAGGGCGGGTGATATGGGGTTTGTCAGTGCTGTGGCCAAGAGCCTCTTCAAAGATGGCACCACCAACTGGGGCCGGATCGCCAGCCTGGTGGCCTTCGGGGCTGTGGTGTGTCAGCACCTGAAGGAGAAGGGCCGTGAGAACAATGTGGAGCTGGTCGGTCAGGAAATCTCCACGTACCTGCTGTCCCACCAGAGAGACTGGCTGGTGAAAAACAACTCTTGGGTAAGTTGTGGCTAATGGCTGAGTGACAGGGTGCAGCAAAGCACCAAAAAATGTGGTTGCATAACTGCCCTCGTTGTGCAACAAAGGATAATGTGTCCCTTGAACACGCAGAACTATCAATTCATGTGTTGTATATCTTTGTCTCCAGGACGGCTTTGTAGAGTTCTTCAGAGTATCAGACCCTGAGAAGACGGTGAGGAACACGCTGCTGGGCCTCGCTGGGTTTGCTGGTATCGGGGCGACACTGGCCCTGTTGATCAGGTGAATTTGGACACTTGGAATTTGAATCTGTTTTTCCACAAATGCTGGACGCTTCCTCTCTAAAGAACCTTTCGCCCCCTTGGCATTGGACTAAAGAAGATGGACATTTCAGCTTGACTTGTACTCAAGTGATAGAGACAATCACACACTGGTTGTTACTTTTATCTTGTTTTTTCTCCTTGGGCTCCCTTCCCCCACACCCACCAAACAAGTCCACTTTTCACTGTTGGCATAAAGGAACTTAACATCCTGCAGACAACCCTCAAACAATTAGGAGTTATTTAATTTACAAAGAAATTTGTTTTTCTAATACACGTGTGATGATTCTATGCAAATTACAATGGTAATGGGAAGTTGTTTTTTAATGTCCTTGATATTCTTCTCAAATTGTTTACATTATCCTAATTATGAAACCTTTCCTGGCAGTGAGGGTGTTAGCAGGCAGTGCCCAGGCCAAAGCAGGAAGGGACAAGCTGCATTTTTTTCCATGACATGCAGCCATGAAGCCCATTTCCATAGAGTCCATTCATAACCCCTGGATTGTTTGTATGGAGGCCTCAACCATGTGAAGGGAGGAGGTGAATTTGCATGAGTGTAGCTCTGTTTCCTTGTCGAGAAAATGAAACTGACCAGACGAGAGTACGCACTTGCCGGACTTGTGGCTGCACGGCAGCCTGGGAGGTTCGAGTGTCAGGAGAATCGAACAAGGAACGTGAGGCTGAAAGACGCAGATTGGGCTATTCCACTGCACCGAAGCTGACAGAGAGAGGGAAATGAGTAATAGTACAGATCCAGTTGTAAGCTAACATATCTGTATAGATTGAAATAATAAAGAAGACAAATATAATTCACATGACTTTGCCTTTTCTGAAACTTTTTTGTTTTGACTTTTGAATTGTTTTCTTTAGAACTAGAAATCTTGGTTATATTTATATTCTGGTTCTGTTGTGCTGAAATAAATTGCCCCGCGCTAAACTTGACACCTTCGCACTTATCAACTTCTGATGCTTTTTCACACCACAACTCAAGACAGCACAATGGCTGGTGTTTCCTAGAAATTTAAGGCTGTGGTGAGATCTCAGCTGCATCCGCAGTTTGTGTGAGCGGTAGCATGTTTATCTGCAGTTCGGCTGCACGACTGCAAGAGCAAGCGAGGTTTTGAAACTGGGGTAAAAAACGGTTCACAACATCCTCAAAAATTGCATAACAATGTCTGCTTCCTGTGTTGCAAAAGTTACTTAGCTGCCTGGAAGCTGGTGACTTAATCAAATATGACAAATTAGATTTCTAAATACTTACAATGTGTGTTCAGTGCTTTAATGGAAATTTCAGCCATTTTCTTTTACCCACAAACCTCTCTGGTATGGTTTCAGTGAGGATGTTTCTCGAGTACATAATGGTTCCAGCCCAAACGTTTCTACATGATTGCACTTTTATAACTAATTTCCATGTTTGCAGCTCCCTCTGGGGATGCTCACCTCCCACTATGAAATCCAGTGATGTGGACCACATTGAGCTGAGGCCGGGGGAATCCTTGGTGATGACTTATGGCTTCGCCCTTGTTTGTTCAGATCCTCCCGTTGTCTCGGGTTACAGGCCAAACACCAGCCCTCATCAAGGTCTTAGGAGGAAATGGAGTAGAGTCTCCATGGTGATGAGCCACAGCAGACCTCTCTCTAGTCCTCTCCTGTGGCTAATGATGTTAGCACCACCCTGGTTACCCCTACACAGTTCAATGTGAATAACAGGCTGCTACACAATGGAGACTTGAGGATGAGGCAATTACATAGAACAATTTTCACCATACTCGAGTGGAATGGGGGAGGGGGGGTTGCAGAAAACAGAGCTGCACTGACTTGGGGCTGAATATGCAAAGTCTTTGAAAACCGTTGATGTTAATTATGAGTTTACTGGTGCATCTTAGTCTGTGTGTTCCCTTCTACCTGGAGTATTAATGCTTTCACTTAAATTCCATCTGTATGCAGCAGTGTGTTCACTTTAGTTTATCAGTGACCCGTCTGTGAGCTTATGCAAATGGAAGCTGGAGGATGTGATAACTACCATTTAACTTCACACACAGAAGCTGCAGCTGCGTCAAAGATCAAATAACGAAATTCAATAAACCAAAAAAGGGAACTTGATAACAGAGCTGAACGTTATTGTGAGGGAAATCACCATCAGGCTTTTACCTGACATGCTGTTTGATTACGTTTGAACACAGTTTAAATTGGTCTCTATTCTTAAATGATAAACTTAGTACAAAACCAAGTTATTAAGAGCTTCACAAGATGAGCAGTAAGTCAAATAAAATATAACAAAATAACAAAAAAAAACTACAGCACCTATCACTCAGTAGAGCCTATACCAAGCTGAACCAAATCCCTCAGCACAGTAAATATCGGTTCTCTAAATATGTCTGATGTCTTGTCTTCATCAAGATCCATTCATTATTCACTGAGAGATCAACGAAAATGTGGAAAATCATATAAAAAATATTCCCTGGATCTGCCTCATGATCCTGTTCAATACCAAATATGTAAAAAAAAAAAAAAAAAAGTTCCTCTCAGACCCGAACCACATCCATCCACCAAGTTTCGTTGTAATTGGTCCAGTAGTTTTTGTGTAATCCTGCTAACAAACAACAACAAACAGCAATGACAACAACCCTCTTGGTGTTGGTAATAACAGAAGTTAAACAGAGACGTGACTAATCTCTTGCTAATGTGTTTTTGCTCTCTGTTGAGTCTGGCTGCTTCGTTTTGGATGAACTTTAAGTTTTATAAACTTGGCTGACTCAGAGAAGTAGTGTGAACCTTTCACAGCTGGGATCGGCTCCAGCTCCCCCCAAGATTCTCTAAGGATAAGTGGTATATGGATAATGGAAGGATGGGATGGACGTCGGAACAAAGTTGATGGACCCTTCATTCAGATGTCTTTGAGTACTCCTAAGTCAGAGAGGTTGTTACCAAGACAACAGCCACATACCATTTGTCTGTTACCTTTACTGAAATCAGTGAAAAACCCGAAACATTTCAACACGCTGTTTCTCAGACGCTTCTGTGTCACAATTGTTCAATTGAACGCGATCATGTCACAAAGGTTGTTCTTCTATTTGAAAACTTCACATCTGCCACACATTCTACCTGCAGTTGTTTTGTCTTAAGAGTGTAAATCATCTCTTGTGGTTCTGAACTCCTCTGTAAAGGTGGATTCTGGGCCGAGTTGGAGTGAAACAGCGCAGCTCTGAACTCCACAGCTTGTGGAAACTCCTCAGCAGGTGAATGCATTCCTGTCATGGGATAGTTTTAAGGTGTGGTTTAAAAAAGTGTTTGTCTGAACACCCACTCAGCTCTTAAGAGTATTGGTTATATTCAAGTGGCCAAATCCAAAAGGAGTATTGTTCAGGACTGGACTTTCATTTTAAGTTTCTGTCCATAAACTTTAAAGCATTGTGGACTGAAAAGGAAATTGGTGGTTTTCTTTAGACCTTTTTGAGGATCTGGGACTTTTAGTGAAAGAGACATGCACAAGAGTTTTTTTTTTGCACTGTAACTTGAGCTCTGAGGAACGGCCTTTGAAAACAGCCTCAGCATTGGTTGCACTTCTCCATAGCAACAGCCCTCCCCTTATTTTAAAAAAAGCAACAGTTTCTCGGAAGTCAGCTGACGCACAAGTTTATCTTTAACAGGAGTACTCTGCCGAAGTTACTCGCTGTAAGTTTCAATACTCAGAATTCTGACCCTGAGATGCAAAGATAAGCTGAGTCGTCAGTTTGAAATGACACAGCGTTGAATTAAAAGTGCTTAGTGGGTTGTTGCTCTTCTGCTCAGTGGTTAAAAACAAAAAGACTTTAACGTCACAAGGGTTTGAAGAGATGCTGCATCGAATTAGAGACTGAGCTTCAGAGAGAGTCCTTTAATTAAACCTGAGCCTGCAGACTGAGCTCTGCTTTCTGAATGTACCCAACTTGTTTATGTATCGGTGCAGACTTCCCTCAGGGTGTCGGCTCAGCTCAGCTCCTTCCTCTATCGGCAGAAGTGCCTTTGAGCAAAACACATCTAAATGCATCTCTCAAAGCAGCTTTTACTGCGATATGCTGTTTCCATGTTTGGTGCTGAGAGCTCACTGTGGTCGTGACTTCACTTGTTGCTCAGTGTGGTCCATCACGTTATTTTTAGTATTCTCTTTATTTCGTATCTGCTCTTTAATCTGGAGCTGCAAAGACACAATTCTTATTTTCATTCCAATTGTAATTGAACCTGCAAACTTCAAATGAACAACTCCTGTGTGCAATAAGCCACTTAATGCAAAATGCAGAAACATGCATGTGCAGTCCTTGTGGTGGATTTTGCACCAGTCTGCCTCTCAGTCCTACATTTAAATATAATTTACTTTCTGCAGTGTAATCTCGTTTAACTGTGAAGTAGACTCATTATCTCTTTGGCCCTGCTAATTTCCTTTTAAAGGCACCAAAGCAGCTTTCGACTTGATAAGCTCAGTCCATGCTGAGCTGTATCAGCCAGTCAACTGTCTGCACATGACGATGATATGTGTGCATTAGGCTGCTGTGTACTTAGGAAGACGATATGCAAACCTATTTGCTTACACAGTAATAAAATCATGTTGGAAGCTGATGTTATTCTAGGGCTGGGAGATAAAGCAATATCTATTTATTGCAATATAGTTTTCATAAATATCAACATAACAAGGAAGTTCATGTTTGTAAACCTGAAACTGTCTTTCAAAGTCCATATACTGTAAATACAGATGTCCGTAGCTTCTCCATTTGCTCCCTCTTGAACAATAACGAAGCCAGAATTTCTCTGATACGAAAGCTGCCATCAAGTTTGATCACTAGTGATCGTGGAGTTGCCGAATGGAGGTCCTGCACTCGACCAATCACACGTCAGTCTTAGCTTTCAATCATGAGGTTTTACCCTGTTCTTGTCACACTTTTCGTTCGTCTCATTCGTCTCATTCGTCTTTGCATTTGCAGGGTTTCGCTTGCATCGATTGGTTTAATGGGTTTCCTGTTCAGCTGTTATGAAGCAGACACTTAGGAGAACTTTTCTATCCAGGATTCTTTGTGTGGTTTGTCTCTTGTGTCGTCTCTGATCAAGGCCACAAATGCACTTTTACAGATGTATTACTGGTACGATGGAATACTGTGACATATTTCTTATTTAAGAACTTATAGGAAATAAGAACATTTGTTAGTGATAACTTAGAGGAAATTATATTCTTGTTTTGGTTCTCTGAGCTTTTTCCAAATTTTAAATGAAAAACAAACCAATCAATTATAGGACACATCATAGATCAAGTGATAATGAAATAACTTTCAGTTTCAGACGTAAATCAAAAGAGAAATTCTCGCAGTTACAAATTGTTTTGACTTGTTAAGGGTAAATTCTTTCCGCCCGTCGTAGAACGTGTTTGTTCTTAGTATCCTGGTACCGTTTGTACAAGTGTCCTCCACTGCACAGCATCGAATTTCACAAAGCTTTGGTGTGTTACTGCTGAACGATATTGTTTGGTTGGGAGATGCAGAGCAGAAGAAATGGCTCCAAATAGAAGCTTTAAAAATAGTCCTAGATCATAGGTCAGAAGTGTCTCATTCATCAGAGCCGAAGCTCTTTGTGGTCAGAGGACACTGCTATCACAGATTGAACTGGATCCACTGGGTGATGTGTCATGTTCCAGCCATCCTGCTCTTTGAAACTCTATTCTTTGACTGATGACCAGAGAACTGTATTAATAGACAAGTCCGTGTTTGTGTCACTCAGGCTGACGACCATCATTTCACCGTGAGCTGCAGATACTGATGTTGTTGTTTGAGGTTAAGTTTTCATTGTTTGT